TATATATATATATTAATAAAGACATTTATATTTCAATTATAAATCCATTTATAATTATGTTTTCTAATAGTGATAAAAGCTGAACTAAAATCTATGTATAATTATTACAGTATTAACAGTTGTCTTACTTTCTTAGTTTAAAAATGCAATATAACATTGATAGAATTGCTACTGTCACTCCTAAAATCACTAATTCGAATGTTAGGTCTTGATTCTTTGTATCAACTTCAGGAGTGTCAAACTTGTAATTTGTATGATCCGTACTTGTATTTTCTGTTAAATAAATGTATACATCATTTTCATATTGTAGTATCTTGAAAAATAACTATAATTAATAATTACTTATCTATTGCTAATACATTAATTCTGATAATAGTAGAAGTCCATTATTAGCAAAATTTATTTGAGAAATAAATGTTTTTATTCAATTAATTATAAGCTTCTTAAAAGTGAATCTATTATGTGTTCATCATCAATGAATTAAATTTGTTAAATTATTATTCAATAAAATTAAATGTAAAAAAATTGTATAATATACACTTATATGATTGGTTTGTATAGATAAATTAAAATATACATAGAAGAATTACTCTCTTTCTATCTTTGTTTATTTTGTATTATAGATTTAGCTTTTATTAGCATTTTATAATGATTATGTTAGTTATAAATAACAAAATTATTATGAAATGTCAAATATCAAATCAAACTCATATAATGTGTTAAAAACAAAAATGAACTATAATATCAAAATTTTATAATAATTTTGGTACCATAGTTTTTGGAATTTTAATGTAATTTACGACATAATCAATCTTATACAAAAAAATTCTCTTATTACGGTATGTTATACGTATATATAGGGTTGGGTAATGCTAAATTAAAAAGATAAAAGTTAAGTTAAAAAGTTAAAAAGTTAATTAATTTTAACTTAACTTAGAAAATTGCAAAAGTGAGCAAATTTACTAGGTGTTGATCAATGAAATTATAAATATTCTAATGAATTTGCTTATTTTTGTCATTTTCATCTCATTTCAAATTATACCGACTCCCACATTTCAATCTGTCAGAAACCCTGTATTTTGATATTTACCGTGTATTTTCTAGTTTCTGATAGGTTGAAATCTATTATTTCTTATTATTAAAATATAACATATCAATACTATTTTCGGTTTACGTGGGCTCACGTTGATCGGTTGTTCAGTGCGGGAGGACTCATTTTCGATAACTTGCGAGAAAAAATGTCCGACAAAAATTTCGAAGTGGCTTTATTACTTAAATTTAATAAGTATGAACAAAATATTCAAACAGTATATATAATAGTCTATGTAAACAGTATGAACAAAATATGTAAATAGAGTATATAGAGTATTTTCTAAATGAAGTACATGTTTTTCCGTTATTTGTAAGACTAAAACCCTAGAATCATGAAATAAAAAAATATAAAAAAAAACAAATTTAATTTTATCTTTTTAATTATTTTGTTTTATTAACTTAACTTTTAATTCAATTAATTTCATTACAAATTACATTACAAATTAACTTGTATCTTAACTAAGTTAAATTTTCAAGATTGTTAACTTTAACTTAACTTAGTTAAAAAAAAGTTAACTTACCAACCCTGTGTATATATATATATATATATATGTATATGTGTCATCATTATACAATATTATACACATCTATGTTATTAGGTGTTGGAATTAATTCGTAGCGTTTTTTAATGAAAGAATGTTATTTATTTCACATGAGCATTAAAAAATACATTAATGAAAGTACTTCCCATCACTTGTAAAACGCTACGAATTAATTCCAACACCTAATACAATATACTTCTCTCGTGTATACGTATATTACTTTACAGTTTTATTTATCTATAAAAAACATGTTCATTTATAAATATTAAGAGATTAAGCAATAAATAAAGTGAGCAATTATTTAAAATGTAATTCGTTATCTTACCAGAGTTTAAATTTTCAAATATAATATTCCGTATCTGTCGTTTAATGTTCATCGTGAA